CAAAGTAAAAAATGTTCTTTTTTTAACTAAAAACATTGTTATGTTATCTTCCATAGTTGGATAGAGTATTAGATTTGTTTTCATAAATGTAAACATTACTTGCAGCTAAGCCCGAGTGCATCCATTAGAAGTTAAAAAGAAAATACTCTTTTATAAATGTCAGTGAAGATTTAAGGAAAGTGATTATATTATCCAGAAAAGACACTACTATAGGAAAAAAATATTAAGAAAAGGAACCAGAGAAAGAGATGAATTAGCAGAGATGCGAGAAAAAAAAAGGAATTTATGAAATGTTTTTTCTTATGGAAAAAATCAGTTATTCAAAACTGGGGGGGGGGGAGGAGGAAGGACTTCAGAACAGCCTAGTAATGAAGGATCTCATGCAAGTCCCTGTCTGCTGTTCCTGTCTCTGCTCCAACAATCAAGCCAAAAATGGAGAACAACTTTTGAAAACATCCGACATCCAAAAGAACTTCTACTTTTTGACCTGGATTCACAAAAGTGATTTAAGCATGCTGCACAAAAATGAGCAACAGTAACTTTTCCCCTCAATTGGTTACCATCGAGAAAAACTTCTACTGTGCTGACTCCAAACAAGTATCTTCAATTTTTTAATGGTCTTCAAAATACTTTCATGCAAGTACTTGCGTAGTCAGCCAGCAAAACAGATGACCATACAGGTCAAACTGCAGTTCTTCCTTTGCTCAGCTTAGAACTCCTGTCCAGAAGGGCTATTCAAAGGCAATACTCCTGCTAGTAAGACTGGTTACCATCCTCATGGCTACAGCAGGGCTGATCCCTCCATGAGGGATGAGCCACTGCTGCCTATTAGCTGCTGTAAAATGGGCACTCTAATTCAAACGATGCTACAGATGCAATCCACAAGAACAGCAGGAAATTTAGATATACATATATATATGTATATATATATATTCTCAAATTGTCAAATGAGTTAACGAGGATAGACACAGCGATGGACAAAAAGGCTATGTAGCTAAAAGAAAGCATAACAAATAAACTGGGAACACAGAAAATGGAATTTAGAAGGATTAAATCCATAACTGAAAAATTGTAAAACTTTCCTAGGAAATAAAGCTGATTTAATCTGTGTTCCATATTAAGCAGGAAGGATCAAAGACTGACTTAACTAATTTCATTGGCTAATACATGGTAGCAGATCTTCCTCCCACCCCCAGATGGGGCACACTTACAGATAATGGAGATGACAGAAGGAAATGACTGTAGACATCAGGAAAGGAAGGTTTAAATCACTGTTTCTGAAAGATTAGCACTTAGAAGAGCAATGAAGCAAATAGCAAGGGGATCCATGCACAGCCTGGCTGCAAATGCCAAATGAAATGTCAGGACAAAAGATAAGTTAGTAGCATTGCCAAAACGGAAAGAGAAGAGTCCTAGGAGAAATTCAGAGGAAAATTAAAATGACCCTATTGGCCATAATAGGTTAAATTGATGGAAAAACATCTTCCATCCCTCCTGCATTTACCTGGAACGTAAACTCTTTGAGGTATGTTTCTCAGAGATGAATGGATGAGGGATACGAAGCTCAGGGATATAAGATTTCCTTAGCTCAATAACAGAAAAATGAAAGTTTCTAATTTATTACATTTGTTATTATGAGTATTTTGAATATAAAGAAATTATGTATAATATTAAATTTATTGCAATTAATCTGTACCTTATTTGTATCTATATTCTCATTTCTTAAAATGAATTTTAAGTGCTTATTTCATTTATATACCATCAATCAAAATTAAGATGATGAAATAAGAATCTTCCTTTTATGCTTGTTACACTACAAAATGATATGTAAAATTACCAAACAGCAGTATATTGTGGATTTATATTAATACATTTCAACCAAAATATATGAATGATTTATATCTACTTTATTATTTAAATTAGCTGGTTAATGATGCATGTATACTAAATTCCTTTATCCATAACCCAATGCGGTGTAGTTTAATTCCAGCCAGAGTGGGAATTTTTTGCTCTTTCTCATGACCCTGGAGATAGCATCTCTCTCTCTCTCTTCAAAGCTACAGAGGAAGGTTAGATAGTTGTTCCCACGCCTTAATCACACTGTACTCATACTAAACAGATGTAACTGGCAGGTCAGCTCCATCCAACTTCTTTCTTATTTTTCTTACAGATGATCAGGTTACGGTCTAGTTTTGTATGCTCAACTGTTAAATATCAAGTGAAGCAGGAGGTCATATTCTCTTCAACTTAATAGCTTTGATAGCTCCAATATGTAATCACGAGACATAACTTCTTCCTAGTGCTCACCTTTTTACCATAGATGTCGTTATAATTTGTGTGAAAGAGCTGCTGCTGTTGGCTGGTAGCTGCAAAGAAAGACGGTTTGGATCTAGGGTTCAGAGGGATGACAGAAGCACTTAAGGTTTCCACAGTCAGCCACACGAAGAGTGCTTGCAACAGTTGGCCACACTATGCATAACAGCTCTCTGTATATGTTGTGGCTGAGTTTCCTTGAGGACTGAAGTGCCTCAAACATTAAAATGGACTGCACGAATTCTCTTTGTAGGTTAAATGACTTATTTTTAGTACTAAAAGATGTGAAAATATAATCTCTTCTGCTAGCATCCAAAGGACTAAGGACAAAAAAAGACAGTATTTATAAAGCATTAAAATGTTGGTAAGTCAGAAAATTTGAAGTGTAGAGAAAAGGGGTGAGAATTCACTTTAAGTCAACAACTGGAAGAGAAGGAACAGATCCCAGGAACTCCCCTAGTCAAGCTAGGGAAGAAAGAGTAAGACTGCTGCTGTGACAGATATTCACATGCCCTGGGGAAGGCTGCTTCTTCTGTGCAACACTGCATCACGTACAAAGCTGCCAGAATTTAGCTCAATCCTAAAAGATGTCCAATCTGATGACCAAAAATTCTCTCACTCTTAAAAGCAACACAGCTCTCTCAGTGGGCTGAATATACTCAAGACAGGAAAGAAAATTCTTGCTCGTGATTGTCTGAAAGATTCTGACTCGCTTGGTCAGATTTACTTGTCCAAATTGGAAGTCCAAATGGTCTTGCTGGGCTAAAACTGATCTTAATATCACAGAACGGATGAAACAATCGTCTGTGAAAGATCCTGAATTTTCTCGCTTCCACCCTTCCTTAGCAACCTCAAAATCTGTGATGCCATTTTTCTAGCTTCACCCATTAAGACTATTAATATCTTACATAAAATTGACTGATTTTTTTCAGATGGTTCAAATGGCCCTGCTTATTTCAACTGCCTCATGAATGAGACTTTTTTTGAGAAAGCCAAAAAATATTAAGATCATTCAACAATGTATTTGCATCACAGGAAAATATGCAGATTTAGAAAAAATAGATCTAGAAAATGACATAGAATAGGAGAGAAATTGCTCTTAAAATAGTAATAGCAATATTTCATATCTAGACTCCTGAAGTACTGGAACTATTTGAATAATCTACAGGTACAGTAAATAATTGTGGTTGGTGATATCTTTTTTCCCTCTTCAACAAAGGTATAGATAGCAAACTTAAATTTTATTTAGTTCTAATTAATATGCAAATAATATAATATTTAACTAATTTTTTTATTAAGGAAAATATTTATTCTCAAATTAGCTCTTTTTCTTTTAAGCTTAGAAGTCAGGAAACCTAAGAAAATAAGACCTGCACTATCTCACTGTATGCATGGACATGTGAGTGTGAATCTGTCCCTCCTCTATTAATAACTTTTGAATCTATGGACCAATGATACATAGAGAAAGCTCAAGAGATATTAATTTCAAAATAATTTCCTACAATTTTGTGGGAAAAAAATCAGCTATTGGACAGAAGAAGATTCATCCTCTTTTCATCCCACTGTGTGGAAAGCTACAGAATAAGCTAAATCTTCATTAGATACCCGAAAATTCACACTGACTAGAATGTTTAGTACGCTAAATACAGAAAAACCTCAGTAAAATATCACACTATTAGATAAAGGGAGTATCCAATCAAAATACGTAAATCCATAAGAAACCAGATCACATTTGTTCTGCTTTCATAGAAGCACTATTTCACACAGTGAACAACATTTTTCTGTCAATGGACAAACTGCTTTTCTTAACAGATACTAACATTTTCTGAAGAGCAATCTGGAGCTTAAGAGAAGTAGACTTTTTCAATACATGTTGTATTTAGTATTTTACACTTTTAAAAGATAAACAGCTTCTTACATAGTGCAGATATATACTGAATAGGTTATTAGTTTGGTTTTCTAAGCAAATGAAATCATATGAATTTGGTATTTGTCTCCTCTGATAACTTTTGAACCTGCTAACCAATTTCAACCAAATCTGTCAAAAGATTTTAAAGATATTAAGGTATCAAATGTTCTGTGAAAATTGGTAGGTGGAAAAAGGAGAGCGTCTAGGATCATTATTTCTGCTGTCCATTGAGGCATTTGTAGTTGCTCACAACTTTCTTGAAGTACTGACATTTGGCTTATTCTTTGCATCAAAAGTTTTTGTTTTTCTTTCCCCTCATTAATTTTCTTCAAATACATCTTCTTCCCTCTTGTAAATTTAGCCTATTGGTAGTACCTGAATAAATTTAACAAGAAAAGCTTACAGATTCTGTTTCTACAAACTCTCTCATTGTCTTTAACAATCAGCTTCTGGCTGAAATGAACCATTACTTTTTTAATTTAAATGTGCTAAAACTAAACTATAACATTTAATTACTAATAAACATTCCTCACTCAAATCAATGCTTTATCAGCATCACGAAATACACTGCCCATCTGTACTATGATGGAGTAGTTTTCCCCTCATTGGTACCTCCATAATGTAAACAATACTTTAACATAGTAGGTAATCATTTTCTTACAGGAAAAAAAAGCAAAAGTTCATCAATATCTTAAAATAAAAAAAGCTATTATTTATATAATGAAGAATAAAAATACATATTCATGGCAGAAAGCACTTTATAAAACTAGCATCTTACCTTTTCGTCCAGGGTATACATGAGGGTAATATTCATAATAAAGATCAGGCTGGTCTAAATTTCCAAATGGTTCAAACTCCATTTCTGCATTTTGGAAGAGATTCAATTTTACCAGTAGTGCCAGTCTCACAAACCACAGCTAGATAATTAATACATATAAAAAAAGCAAAAGGCAAGATCTGTTATTAGCTTCAATCACAAGGCACATCCAAATAAAATTTCGATTTTCTAAATACTTCTGATAAAGTTGAGTAAAGAGTTTCTATGATACTTTCTAATGACAATCCCTTATGCTTACATGCTTCCTCACACAATATTTTTCCTAAGGCCATTAAAATAACAAAACCCAGAGGACTGATGTTTAGTTGCTTGTAAAGGTACTACATTTTTGAAGATGAAGGTTACAAACTAAATTAGCCTGCTTCAAAATTAGAACATCTCTCTTTAAATTGATTTAGGTAGCATGTAAGACTTAACACTTTAAGTTTTATTTTTTTTCCCAATTTTATGCATTTTTTAACATCTGTTATTATTTTGGTGAATTTCCATGATCTTGATAGTTACCAGGGCCAGCACTGTGACTTGTCATCTGTTCACATTCCATAAAGTAGAACTCTTGTCAAGTTTCATGAACCTTCATTAATTTGGGTTTTTATTTTCATATCGTCATGAAATATATTTTTAACATTTGAAATCTTACTACAGACTTCGTAATCTATACAGAGTCCATGAATGTCAGCAGAGTGAGCCTTGTAGGATAAGCAAAGCATACTTCTTTTTACTAGTCTAACTTTAAAAACACGCAACTAAGATAGTTATACTTTTTAAAAATGTTTTGCTTGTATGAAGACATACAAGCAAACAGAAAAAGTGACTTGCTACAACACATTAATAAGCTTAATTTTTAGGCAACTATTTGGAAATAGTTTGATCAGGTTCAAAAGAACGCTGCTGTGAATATTTCTGGAAAAGGGGTGTGAGGGTGTAGTTTTGAACACACCTGCAAAGAATCTGTTGTATGGTTAGTAGGTAGTCCACTTTTTCCATAGCCTTGACCGTGGGCAGTTAGAAGTCGTCCACACAGGTCAACTGCTGCCCTCCAGTTTTTACTGTTCTGGGAAAAAGAAAAGAGTAAGTAGCAAAAACACAAAGCCCCTAAGATGCACAGCTGCTTATTTAGCCTAAAGCAGCTACACCTACCCATCAGTAATAATGACAAGGTCAGGAAATCTGGCCGGTGAGAAGCAGAATGTTGTTTGTCAAAGCTGCACGTGTAATTAGGTAAAGAGGGAAGTCAAGCATGAGATACAGTTTAAGAATATCAGATCGCTAAAATAAAAGAATACACACCACCCTATGAGTTTCTGAACTTAAAGCTACACAATACTTGCTAATAATTTTCAAAATATTCATACTATTCAATATATTAATAATATTCAAAATATTATCTCAAAAAGAAAAAAAATTGCCAGCCATATTTCAATTACTGTATTCAAGTTACTCTACTATTATAAAGTATTTAAGGCCTATTCCTGCCCCACTGACTTCAGTATTTCAGACTATAACCCCTAGGGTAGCTTATTTTATCTCCCAGAACATAGAAATATTGTGATTATTATTAATAACAGAGGACAAGAAATAATGCAATGCATAAAACAACAATAAAAACAGAAAGACGAAAACAGTTTCATCTTCAAAATACAATCATCTGAATTTTCACTGCAAAGCTAACTTCACAATAATCTTAAATATATTTTTTCATTCATACAACAAAATCTTGCCTGGTTAGACAAGGCACACTGTATTGTCACACTGTCATATTAATGCTTCTACCTTGTTTACACCAATGCGGCCTTGTACATAGCTAACACAAAAAAAAAACCTTATAAAATACTATTGCTTCACAGGTTTTAAACCATCTTATGGTTCTGTTACATAAAACACTTTTTCAAGAGACATGCATCCAGTAGCTCCTTATAAAACCAATACATCTCATTACAGAAGAGTAAGTAACCATTTCTTTCAAACAGAGCATCTTAAATGCAGCAAAAATAATGACCAAGTGTAACAGAAAACTGGCATGCTGTCTGATAAAATTCAAAGGAATAGAACATACTGATTTCAGTGCTTCCCAAATTTGGATACGCACTTGTAACTGGCAACCTACAAGATTATCTCTAACATTTACAGTTTGGAAAACACGTTAACAGTGCAGTCAATACCTTAGAAAAACTACTGGTAACAACTGAAGAGTTTTTGTACTCCCTGGCCCCCATTTTGCAGCTCTAGTTGTTCCAAGGACAACTATAAAGAGAGGTCACAGTGCACTGATGACTTCATCTCCTTCCTCTGCATTGTCAAATTCCAGATAAAAATTTGAATTCTGCTGGAAATGCAGAAGTTGACTGACAGCATGGATGTGAAGGAGCACAGTAGCTTTTTCTTATGATATCTTATGGAAGAGCAAGAATTGATATGTATTTATAACATCCTTCAACATAAATTCTTACCTACTTAGAAAAGCAGAAAGGCATGGAGACAGATTACCTGTACTTTTTTCCTTTTCCATAGAGACAAATTAGTTTGCTATTATTCTCAGAACAGAAGCAGATTTAGACTGTAACACAGCTTAACTTTGCTTCCCAAATGAGAGTGAGAGTCCAGAAATAATAATGGAACATTTATGGGCAATCTTAGGTGCTACTGCTTTAAGGAACTATTTTGGATATGGACAAAGGACTATTTTTTATTTATAGCAGAAGACAGCCAGGAGGAGAAGCAGCTCTGACAACCATAGTAGAAGTTGTCCTTGCTGGAAAATGAAACATAATATTCCTCACGATTTCAAAAGTAGAGCTCTCTGATGGTCACGGACCATAGATCTTTGTGGAAGCTTAAGTAGTATAGCTTAATTGGAAATTAACAGGACACATTACTGTCTCTGGAAACTTGAACAAGAATTATAGTTGCCGGAGCTGCGACTCTACCAGAAATCCTTTTGCAGTTACTTGGACCAGGCCTCAAAATGCTGCAGGTTCTGTCACTTGTTCGTCTCCTCTGTTCTACAGCCTTTCCTTGTTCCTGAAAATGATATGGATGAATGTTGCCTGTAAGTCATAACAGTCCCTCAAAGCAAACATGAATATTACTGCTCCAGTTGTATTACCAAAAGGATATATATTCTATGATAATCATGACATGGTCCTCCAGCACTGTGTGGAATCATGTGAAAACATTTTCTCCAAGAGTTAATACTGGTACCTAGAAAATGATGCCAAATACTTCACTAACATAGTATCAGCCTGGTAGAAAATAACCTATTTCCTTTCATGACATTAGCTAATCTTTCTTTCACAAAAAATATGGTGCTGCTATCCTTTAATTCTTTCAATGAAAGCAACCAGCTTGAATGATTTCTGTACTTTGTTCACACTAGTAGTCCAGATATTAAACTTGAGCTGGGGTCCAAAGAATTTATATATATGTATAAACATTTCAGTAAATACATTGTTTCCTTTACAGCTTTCAGAAGTATTTTCAGTGCAACTGATACTCCCATATCAAGTCTGACTTTATGAAGTCAGAGTTTATCTTTTAAATGGGAAGATGGAGATATTGCCTTTAAGCAAAATCTGAACATCCTTCTCTGCATGGTAAACTTCTGACTGCGGTGCACATAGCAAACCTAGGACAAATAGAGGAGATACTAGCAGATTAACCAGCCCATAGACAACGTGATCACAATACTCATTGCAAACTTCTTAGTTGTAGCGGTAGGAAATTTCCAGTCACAGTTCTTAAAGGATTTAATATCATTGATGAAAGCCTGTAAGTGAGAATCAGAACTCTTAAGTCTTCTTATTCCGGATTTAATTGTGTAGTCAAGGTAGTTTTCTGGAAAAATCAAATGTCTCACCTCTGTTCCTCACAAAAACAGAAGAGGTCCTGGGAGAGGTTTACATACAGAGGGGAAACAGTATAGCCCAGGAAAGCAGGTTTCATATTATAAGGATTTATTTTTCTTTAACAGAGACAGAACCAGCCCAATCACTTTATACTTTTTCATTGAACTTTAAGGAACAAGTACTTAAGCAATTTAAGATTTGAATACAATGATTCTAAATTTAAATCAAAACGGTAGACAACAGTGCTGGCATTTTGAAGGTTTTATTTTAACCCTGTTAAGAACAACAGGCAGGCTCTGCGCCACAGAGCTCTTTTTTTTTGTTGTTTTTTTAAATAAGAGCATATATGAGGTACAAATCTGATACGCCTTTTTTGGAAGAAACATGGTATATTTAATTTCTTACTGCTTCTTTTGATCTCACCTCCAAGGTAACCGAACAACAACTTCCACTTTTAAAAGGGGAAAGATGACAGTGCAAGCGGATCAACTCTCCAGTTCTGACTTACGTTCCAACACTTCCAAAATAAGAACCTGAACACTGCTATGACGATCCTCCTTTACTAAAAACCATGAAATACCCTAAAAACTGTCTGAAATAGAGACAAAAATATAAGTGATAAATTTTGATAAATCCACATCCAAAGATCTGGTGATGCTTCTGTTCTATCTGGTCAAAGTTAAAAGTAACTGAGGCAGTCCATATATCCTAGTGCCTTCAGTAAGCCTATTTTTCACACAGAGTGATGAAGGGAAAGGGACGCAGGGAAGAAAATAACCTCACCAGCTAAAGTTAGAATATCACAATAGTCTAAATGTGAGAATAGCATTGAAAATGTTATAATTTTATATTTTTTAGAAACAGAAACAAAATTCCCAGTTAAGTAAAAGACCCAGTACAAGCCAAAACTGTAGTCTGAAGAGAAAAATATTTTTAATGTTTCTTCCTTTTTTAAAAAAGTGTCGTAAGAACGTTAATTATCAGAGTTTTCCCAATGCCTGAAAGGGTATTCCACTACGAATGTATTCAGTGATTAAGACTAGTAAAAATACTACCAACTGAGTAGCTGAATACCACCATCTCACATGTGACTGTCCCTAAAAAGTCTCCCTGTGCAGGTCAATTTTGCTTGATTTTTGAATTATGGTTGAATAAAGATTAGAGAGCATATGACTGAACAACCCCTTGTATTTCTTCTTTGTACTCAATACTGTAAATTGTTTTTCTGAATGAGGGCAGCGAAATTCAGGTGATGCAATAAGTAAGACTAATAGTCAGGTGGAATTTTATTGATCAGCAAAAAAGCCAAGTGGAAGAGATGGGATGATTGGTACAACTGTGAAAGAAGCTTGCAGATTGGATGTCTGTAATAAGTTTGTTCAGTGAAAACTGACTTGACACTTGACACATGAAGAGAATTTATAATATTACTCGGCCTCTCAGGAAAACAATTTTCAGCCAAGTCACCCAAATTTTACCCAATAAATTAGTGCTTTTTAGTGTAGAAATGCAACCTCTTCCCAAAAGCCCCCCGATTACTGTTTCTGCTACTTTTGTCTCCAACTTCTAACTTGTTAAAGTAAATATGCATGCCAAACTACTGTATCCAAGTTTGTTATATTTGACAACACAGGTAAGAGCACAACATTAATCATATGCATCAGTAATACTATATGGTTTTTTTTGAAAAGAGACTCAAAGGGAGTCATTAACTCCACATGCAACACCATTAAAGTGATTAAAATGTCCTCCTCCACTAGCTATGACATTCTTCTCCGCTGTAAATTACACTGGTAGAGCACTTTCACATTAGCTAGGAAAATGTAGTTAGTAACCCTTTCCTAGTCCAATAATTTGAAGAAATTATTGCATGCTTACAGTCATCACTGCATATTTATAATGGTATGATATAGTAGTCTTTTTTAGGCATGGCAAATATCAAAAATTTAAATTTCCTGTGATTGTAAACACCTTGCAATTCAACATATCAGAAAGGTCTGTAATAAGAAATACTGTACTATTTGTTCAAATGAAGGTGAACAGTTAATCTAATCTATGGAGTAATAGGAACTAACATAACTGCTGCTTATATCTTCTAAGCATAATTTTTATTTGCCGCTATAAAAGAAAGTCATGTTGTGAAGACAGGCTATTATTTACATCTATTCACTACAGAGGCAAATGCATGTTCCTGTACTAGAATAAGAGC